CATATGCAGTATATTTAGATGGTTAAAATAGCATAGCATTCCACTGTATTCACAGATTATTTTCAACACCACAATTCTTGGGAATTAGTCTTGAATAAATAAGGTAAAGAGAAAAGAAGTCACATAAATTTGCTCCAGTGACAAAGAAAACAATATCAAAATGGCAATCTGGAGATTCACCATGAATGGAGGACTATAGAAAGTTCCTTTTGGTGATCTCTTCTGCAAATGCAATCACTATCTCATTCCCTAGTCTAGATTTATTTTAAAGTAAATGAGAAAGAAAGAAAAAAGCTAATAGTAAGAAACAGTGAAAAGTACCTTTATTATTTCAAAAGATCAATGCACAATCACTGTACTTGCACAGCATTAAAGGTAAAGATAGAGAACTGATACATGTGTTGATTTTCTGAACATCTAAAGAGTCTTTATTTCCCACAATGGCAAACTTTCTACATTAAAAAAAATCATAATATGTATATATAAAAACATATAATATATAGATTATATGAAATCTCTTCTGAAGTCTCAGCTATAACACATTTCTTCAAATATCTTGAAAATCACAAGTAATTAATTTGCAAGGACTTGGTAGAATTATTATTCTCAGTTAACTCCACCTATCATTTTAAGTATCATGTAACAAATACAAATTCTATCACCAAAAGTCAATAGCTGTCTGAATTGTGGAGTCAAGAATAGTCTTTGTTGCTGAAGAGGTTGTGAGTTGAATTTGTATCAATTAGTTTAAAATAAAGAACTGTTTTGTACTTTTGATCTGAGCCAAACACCACAGAATATTAAAACAGGCATTTTAAACAGAGTTTAGTTATCCTGATTTTCATTCAAATTTGAAAATGAATAGAATATGCTTGTAATTTTTTTCTTGAGATTTTCCAAGGTATACTTTTTACACCAACATTACTACTGATCAAACATCATCTTGAGAGAAAGCCTAATTCCTACTCATCTGTCAGGAACAGACTTTTCCTCTGCATTCTAAGTTCTCATTTGTTGGTTGCTAATTTGACATCCATTACCCAGAGCCTGCTCTGTACCCAAGGGTTGTTCTGGGTTTTGAAGACACAGCTGGTATAATACAGCTAAGGTGCTATTCTCATAGATTTTGTATTCTATTGTGGGTAGGAGCAGGGGAAAGGATTAAGAGACAGTAAACAGGGCCTCCCTGGTGGCGCAAGGGGTTGAGCGTAGTACTGTGAAGCAGTTCACAGCCTCGCAGTGCGGGTTCGATACCTGCCAGCCAAGGAGATACCCACATGGTGTGGCAGACCTCTCCTGTCTCACCTGCTTCTATCCTCAGCAGTGTTTTCTCTCCATTTGCCTGTTCTGCTCCCTGCTCTGTCTTTGGTGAATCCTCTCACCCTCCTGCACCTCTGGCCTGTGCCCCAGATCTTGCATTCATAAATAAATAAATCTTAAAAAAAAAAAAAAGGAGCCAGTAAACAGACACTACAATTTTAGATAACTCAAGAAAACATAGTAGACTAGAATGTTTAGGTGACCTTGAGTGTCACTTGTAAGGGATAAGACCTCTATAAGGAGTAACATGTGGCCAAGACGGACAAGATGACACTGACATGTGAAACACTAAGGGAAATGCAAGTACAAAGACCCTACAGTGGGAAAGAACTGAAGAACTGGAAGAACTCAATGAACTTAGAACACCAGGAACTGGAGGGAAAGGTTTTGAGATGAGGTCTGATAGTGAGCAGACAACACATATCTGCCAAAGACTTAGGCAATCACTTCAAGAATTGTTCTGCCTTTGACCTCAGTACAGAACCAGCTCATGGAACAAAAGTGAGTGTTGTCTTAAATAGGGAGTTAATGTTACCACCACGCATCTCTGTTTTTAAGTGTCTGAACTATCCATCAAACACTCCGCTCTTGAGACTACCTCCTGAGTGACTCATGTGACCTTTAAACCCTTCTCCTTGCTCATTTTTCTCCACTGTTCTTCAGACCAATGAGCCTGTCATCTGGTCTGTCACCTGATAGTTATTCTGAACCTCACTATTGGTTTAGGCCTGGAATCTACACACCCTTGGTATACAATATCATATATGAGATAATGACTGCATAATCTCACCCCCCCAACTCTGCTAGTCCTTGATGACCTTATCTTTCCATACCTAGCCACAGACTAACACCTCTGTTATGTGCTAGTGCTACTGCTTTTCTATGGTTGTACTTTCAACTTTCAAAACACTTTGGTATCTTCTAACTCACTTCATTTTGTCAATAATCTCCATGAAGTAGATATATAATTATCACTACTTCATTTTAAAGATGAGTAAATCCAAAGTGAAATAGTTTTGATAACTTTCCTAAGACAAGTTCTCAGCAGAACTGGCCTGAAAAATCAGGAACCCTGCTTTCTCACCTCCATCCTATTTGGAGGGTAGGGAATATGGGTCACTCTGAGCCTTTGAGTCTTGAGAGAGAAAGTCCACAAGATGGTCTGCTTATTACATTGAATTAAAAGTTCAGGCAGAAAGAAATTTAGGAGGTATGTAGAGAGTATTCCTGTCCCTGAAATTTTTTCATATTTGTATATTTGAGTTCACTTTTCTTCACAATATTATGTTCTCATATTTTAGCTTTATATCTACACTAGAGTAGAAATTAGTCTACTACCAATTAAAGAGAGAAAAATAAGAGGACAAATAACTTGTTTAATTGGTGGGTTTGGAAAAAATAACTGCACATAGTCAACTGAGCTGTTCTGGATTTTCTTCTTTGATTCTGATTACCCTCAAAGATCACTGGTATAGGTAAGGATTATCACTTTGTGGATGCTGGATGGCATTTTTAACTCTCATCCTAAAAACTCAATGTTCTGTGTTCTCATATTCAAGTGTGTTTTTTCAGATAACCATGTTGTTAGAAATTCAATGCACTATTTTTAAAAAATCAGCATTTTTCAGATAAGATTCTCTTAGAGAAAACAACAGAAAATATCTTCCTTACTAGTTCAATATTAACCAAGTCTTAAATAGCATTCTTCAAATAAATGGGAAAGTGCTAAAGAGATTAAAGACTCTCAGGTATCTTTCATTCTTCTAAGGTAGAGCAATTATGTTCATTACTGTGGTATGTGGTAGTTTGAAGCAGAATGCTTTTCATACCAACCTGTAAAAATCTAAGTTTCTTAAGATGAGATTCTAGCTGTTTCTATTAAAAATTCATGATCCTTTTGTAAAAGAACTGTTTTGACCTGTTACTCTGGCTAAATTTCTGGGAGTTCTTTTCTCCCACTAACTCTTGCACATATCTCAGGGAAACAGATCGTAATATATATTGACTTCATTGAAGTATATATAAAATTGTTAAACAAAAATAAGTTTGTAATTTTGGTTAAAACACAAATTCACTTAAGAGTGAATATTATACAGAGGAAATCCAGTGTATTGAAGGATCTATTGCCCCTAGAGTACCATTTAGTCGATGGAAAGCAGCATTCACAGCTGAAAAAAAAAAAACTTAGTAAAATATAATACAGTTAATCTACATAAATTTAAAGCTTTCCAAATAATAATGTAACATCATTCCTTATTTGTTTCCAGGTGGACAATTTATAATGTGAAACATCATGTAACCAGATCTGCTGTCTCCTTTATACACTTCCACTTTGTCCATCTCTCCAAGCAACATTGGGGCAGGGTAGGAGTGTCTCAGAAGGTCCTGTGCATGCAATAGAGTACAATTCCAGACTACTACCTGCCAGGGGACAAGCCTGGTGGGAGAAGCCACTGTCCTTTATGGGGAAGCTTCTGAACTGTTCCAATTTGTTCATGGTGGGTAGATGAGTTTCATATTAGGATATGTGACCACACAACTAAGCTATAACTTTTACTGGTTATAAAGCTGACTTAAAACTTTTACTTGGGGGCCTCCCCGGTGGCGCAGTGATTGAGCGCTGGGTTGTGAGGCTGCCCACAGTGCTGGTTCAATCCCCGGTTGCTAAGCGAGGGTCTCACATGGCACGCAGACCTCTCCTGGTGCCAGCTGCTCCCCTCAGCAGTGTACTTCATCAGTCTGCCTGCTCTGCTCCCCGCTCTGGCTCTGGTGAATTCTCTCACCCTCCCCCACTTCTGACTGTACCCAGTGCTTGTATAAATAAATAAATAAATCTTTAAAAAAAACAAAACAACTTTTACTTGGGAAATACTAGAATCTCTCTCTCCAGACATATTCTTACATAGCCCCATATTTCTCAGGGATGATCTGACAATTTCTACAATGTCATGCTATTGTTTTTCTGGAAAAATTTTACCTAACATATATTCAAAAAGATATGGAAATATATTCTACCTCACAAGTATTATACAGAAGGATGAGAATGCTCATACTTTAAGAAAACATGATACTTGAACAATAAAAGTCTCATACATATTTATCTTAGGTGAAAATGTGATACTTAAGAGAAAAAATCCAAATTTTAAAGTTTATACCTTACACTATTCACTGAAAACTTTAAAATAATGTTTAAAAGCAACCCACAAGATAAAGAAAATAAACTATGCAAAGTAAATTACATGTGTTAAGTTCTTAGACTGAATCACATTATCATTTTACTGGGTTGTGCTGGAGTGTATGTGTGTAAAATAACATACAATTGAGGTTATGGCAAGACAGTGCCAAAATAACTGGCTGAAAAGCAAAAAATTCAAATCACAACAGTTTTATTTATGTGTCTCCTGATTAGGCTAGTTAATATGACTTGATATTTTGTATGCATTTAATCAAATTGCTGAAAACAGAGGCACATTATGATATTCAAATCAATGAATTTTAGTGTTCATAATGCTGAACTATGATATACACAAGGTCAAACATTTAAAATTCAGGCTAAAATCAGCTATTTCATCTCAAAACCTCTTGCAAATGCTTATTATGAAAAAACATTAGGAAATATACTTCATATAATTTCAGATATATTTTAAATATCATTTTCCCCAAATCCCCAATCTTATTACCTGTTTTTCAGCAGTATACTGAAGGTCATCTTATCCAGTCCCAGATAATTTGGCAACAAGTTTGACCAATCCCAGTTCCATTTTGTGATGGCTGACTGTTGATAAATGAGAACACACTATTGTTAGTTATTAATCAGAATTAATATGATCAGTAAATTAAAGCTCCAGCTGTGATAGACTAACTAAGAAGGAGGGGGGTCCAGAACAAGGACTTAGACAGATAACATCAATCATGTCCATAGAAGAAGGTTTTTATTACAATAAGACAGCAATTAATTTTTAAATCCATTTGGGGATGTAGTCATTATTTATAAAAATATAAATCAATTTCTTGAGTCGTTAGTCTTCCAAGTGTTAATGGCATTTGCCCAACAAGTTTCTTTGAGATGCTAATTCTTTGAAAATAAAAATAATAGGCAACTATTTTTTATATCATATCAATTTATAGTATTTTTCAGTGCCCTGAAATCTGACTTTAAAAAGGAAACTAATTTGGAAGTGCTATGACCCAAATTAAAAGCCTCAGCTTAGCTTAGAGTGTGATATTAATGTTATCATTCTGGTTAAGAGAAGGCTTTAAAGAGAATATAAAGACCTATAAATGTAAATAACATAAATTATTTTTTTTCTTATTTAATAGATAATTTCACAACAGATTAAGGAGAAAAATTGCTGTGAAAGATAATCTCATAATTCAGAACTGAATAAAACATGCCATTTATTTAAATGAAGTGAGGATAATTTAACAACTATAATGATTATTTATGGTTTGGAGCAATGTAATGTACAACACAGAAAAGCAGCCAATAAGCTCAAACTTAAAAAATGTATCTGGTTTTAAAGTATTATAGAAGTTCGTGCTTCTTGAAACTAAATAATTTAGATAATAAGAGTCCAGGTTGATGTATAAAATCCAACAAGAACTATGCCCTGTCACCCACTGATTAATGGAGCACTACAATCTTGTCATAGAACAGGAGAATTCTGCCCGGGGTTGTCAGTATTTGAAGGTCTTATTCTACCACAGTATTGATGAATGTAGACTAGAGCCTTAACAGGCATGGTAAAAAATATTATCTGCATCCCGAATTAGGCCATTGTTTTAATTCTTATTTTCGTTAGCACTCTAGGTCAAGCAATTCTTTTCTTCTCACCAGTTACTTCAAATAGTCTGTCAAGAGGCATCTAGGAAAAGGCATCGCAACTTTAGATTTCAAATACTTTGGCATAAAGATGATCTTTTGAATGTAACCACTGAAACATGCACCTTAAACAACGGCATAACTTGACATTAAAAAATGTGTGGTATTTATCACATTGACTTTATTCCAAATATCCTGACTTTAATATGAGTAGCAAATTCATTAAAATTCAGGAATGTGTTTATAGTTATAAAAAAGCAAATTTATCTCATGCTACTTACAATAGGGGCTTGATGCACTCCTTAGAAATAATTTTAAACTATTTTATGATTTACCTGAAAAATCAGATAGTCAAAGATTGCAAGGTATTTTGTGAGTTTGTGTATCGGGGGATGAGGGCTGGCAAGAAGGGGAAAACTGTTACGAAATGCCTGTGACTTCAGGCCTTCTGTAGACACAGCCCAACAGCTGTTCCCTCTGCCCGTGGTGAACTGACCTGGTCAAAAGTTAAATTTTACAGACCAAACATATGAATCAGTTTGACAAATAGAAAGAAAGTAAAATAACTTTTTCAAAGTCAATTTGTGCAAGCCATGCAAATAAGAACAGGCCTTTTATTTCCTAGCTAAAAAAAATTGAGTAAATAGTCAACACAAAGCATTTTTATCTCACTTGTATAAAGAAATCATACATTTAAGTTAAATTTATCATTTAATTTCCACATACCTGATCGAGCATGCTTTCACTAAACACCTTGTACACATAGAAAGGGTTGAAGGAAGAAGGCTGATCCTCCACACTCCTCAAGGTCATATTTAAAGGTCTGATGGGTAATAGTTTTCCCTCTGAACCATTCATAGAAAACAGCTGCTCTTTTAAATATTCCTTCAAGAAAAAAAAAATTACAAGTCATGGAGGTGCGAGGCATATATTCTCTTTAAAAATAAGCTGATCGATATCAAAATCTACCCTTTCAGCACATTTGCTAGATTACAGTGTATTACTTGCCTCAGGACAGAACACATTTTCAGAAGAAACATAGCAGACTACCAATCAGGACTGCAATAAACCCATCACAAACAGGTTCACCTAATATATAGGATAGATTAGAAAACCATTTACAAATACTTACATAATGAATGCATGCTTGGTATGTGAGCATCTTTTTAATAGGCATTGTCTTGTCATTGGTTCATGTGTTAACATGTCTGGTTACCAACACTTAACTCAGGTACATGATTATTCACAGTAGAAGATTGCTCATACATTCATTAAGTGTAGTTTTTACCTACTCTGTAGTCAGCAGAGTGCAAAGTACTTTGATATTTCATAAGCAATCTCTATGTAGAATTAATTACAACACAAGCTCCTACACTCTATTTTCATGCTGTGGACTGAGAAACAAAGGTTGAATAGAAACTCAAAGTATGTCGTTTGAATTCGCCAACTGACAGTGGCAGCCTAGGCAAAAACACCAATCTACTGCAGTATATCTCATTTTCTGTCCATAAATAAATAAGGTGAATAATTCAAAGCTATTTTTATAATAGCCTTTCTGAAAGACAACAAATTGAAATGATGAAAGTTTCCCCCAAATCAAATGCTTACTTTTAATAAGCATCCCAGTTTTTAATGTAAAATTATATAAGTATCATCCTGGTTTTTAGTATGTCATAATATAGTTTTCTCTTCAAGGGTAAGGCTAGGACTAAGTTCAGAAATTTGAGACTTACAAGGCTTTTAGAGGTCACCTAGGAAATTCTTGCTACTCAAAATCTGGGGCATCGACCAATCGAATCTGCCTCACCTGGGATCTTGTTAGACTAGCGGAATCTTAAACCTCACCAAATCATAATCTTCCTGTTAACAAAGAGATTGTTAGGCACATGAAAGTTTGAGAAACTCTAACCCACAGCACATTATAACAGTTGACTCAGCAACCTGAGGTCATGCTGGGACAAGCAGTAGAATCCAGGCAACAAGCCACATAACTGGGTCCAGATCACTGTGCTTCCCCATGACTCTCTAATGTCATAAACAGAAATGCCCATTATTCATCTTTGAAGGCAATTTTCAGATCCTTAAGACCTTTGGACGTACAGAAATCACTACTTAACAATGACAGTCATTTCTCAAACTTGCTCCTTGTGAATTAAGTTCTAAAGAGCTTATTCCTCTTTAGAAAGATGAATTCTGTGCTCTTTCTCATATACACACACACAAACACAAACTTGTACTCTTACTAAATATTATCAGATGATAAAATCATCAGAAAATAGGGCCTCCCCTGGTGGCGCAGGCGGTTGAGCACACGCTGCGAAGCTGTCCGCAGCCTCTGCAGCGCCGGTTCAATCCTGGCCAATGGGCGAGGGTCCCACATGGCACAACAGACCTCTCCTGTCACACCCGCTGCTCCCCTCAGCAGTGTATTTCATCAGTCTGCCTGTTCTGTTCCCCAATTTGTCTCTGGTGAATCCTCTCACCCTCCCGTGTATCTGGCCTGTACCCGATTCTTGTATAAATAAATCTTTAAAAAAAAATCATCAGAAAATAATTTATGCCTGGATTTAGATTTTTGAACAAAAACAGAAATTCTCTACCATGATTTCTAAAAGTAAAATCTCAAAAAATAAATAAAATACTCTCATAAAAAAGGCTTGTTTTAGATAACAATTTTCCTCACTGATTTTCTCCTTATATGGATATTTTGTTTTCACAATTCAAAGGAAAAAAAGTACCCATTGCAAATTGTAAAGACAATGGTATGTTCTCCCTTGTTAATTTCTCTGACTTCTCTGCTATACATTTGTTCCCACCCTTTTGAAAGCCTCAGGTTGGGGCCTCCCTGGTGGCATAGGGGTTAAGCCTCAGTTCTGTCACCACAAGGGCATGAGTTCCATCTCTGGCCAGGGAGCTAACCTACATACGGTACAGCAGAACTCTCCTGTCTCACCTGCTGCTCCCCTCAGCAGTGTATTTCAGCAGATCCACCTGTTCTGCTCCCCACTCTGTCTGGTGAATCCTTTCACTCCCTGTACCTCTGGCCTACTCTTCAGTACTTCTACACATAAACATTTAAAAAAATAAAAAGCCTCAGATTTTCTGTGATATTGGTTACTAGATAACCAGATTACTGCTTACCTAATACATTTCTTTAAATCATTCTTTGAACATCCTATCTGGAACACCTTCCCTGTGTAATTGCATGAAAGATTCTTTTCCTATGCAGAGTTTCTCTTTTTCTTCACTGACGAGCTCTACCAGCCTCATGGCCTCACTCACTGAAGTTCACCAAATCTATAATCATGACTGCACTCATATGTGATCATGTCCAGCATCTTCAACAGGTTGAACTATTGTGTTCAAACAACTTACCTTTATCTCAGATTTTTTTTTAATTGAGACAACACTGGCTTACAACATTGCATAGAATGACACATTTCAGATACATGTCACCACTCCACACCCACCACCAACGCACCCACATTCCTCCTCCATAGTCCACTGAGTCCTCTTCTCACTTCGGTCTCCTCACTTACCCCTGCCCCAACTCTGGTTACTTCAATTCTATAGTCAGGCTTCTAAGGTTTGTTATTGGCTTGGTTTTATCTGATCCTCAAAGACAAATATTTTAAAATTTACTTTGTGTCATAACTTTGTCTTCTGTTAATAGCATACTCATTTTTCCCCTCACAAAGGCCTGTAACAATAAACACTTCTTTACTTTTCAAATAATACTGCTGACACTTGAACAACGTGGAAGTTATGGACACCTTTATATATAACAGCTGACAACCCTCCTACAATTTATGGTTGCTTCCCCTCCACACACACACACGAACTGTTCCCACATCCAGGTACTCAACCAGCGGGCTTCCAAGTTGTTCAAGGATCTACTGTACTTAGCAGAAGACCTCAAAATGCTATAGACTAAGTGCTGTTCACCAAATGAACAAACACCACAATATAATTTTGAAACAGAAATATGCCAGGGGCTATAGCAGGGCTATAGGGGTGCTATGGTGGGTCAAAAGACCGTGACCAGGTGGAGGCTACAGGTTCCATCTGTGGGTTCTCACCTGTGTACAACTGCAAAGCCACTAAGGTTCAGGGAACAGCAATAAAAGGGTTTATTTAAAAAAGGGTTTATTAAAAAAAGGATTTATTTAAAAGGGTTTATTTAAAAGGGCTTATTTAAAAGGGCTTATTTAAAGGGTTTATTTTAAAGGGTTTATTTAAAGGGGTTTATTTAAAGGGTTTATTTAAAAGGGTTTATTTAAAAGGGTTTATTTAAAAGGGTTTATTTAAAAGGGTTTATTTAAAAGGGTTTATTTAGGGCCTGCCCGGTGGCACAGTGGTTGAGCTCTGGGTTGCGAAGCTGCCGGCGGCCTCTGCGGCGCCGGTTCGATCCCCGGCTGCTCCCTGGCCACTGGAGGAGGGTCCCACATGGCGCGCAGACCTCTCCTGCCACCCGCTGCTCCCCTCAGCAGTGTACTTCGCTCCTTCTGCCTGCTCTGCTCCCCGCTCTGGCTCTGGTGAATTCTCTCACCCTCCCGTGCTTCTGACTGTACCCAGTGCATGTATAAACAAAACAAACAAATAAATAAATAAAACATGCCTCTATAAAAAAAAAATAAAAGGGTTTATTTAAAAGGATTTATTTAAAAGGGTTTATTTAAAAGGGTTTATTTAAAAGAGAGGGGTGGAAGAGTTCTTAGGGCCACAAGTGGCCATGTATATCACCCCAGATAGTGTCCACAGTGTCCAAAAGGCCACTCATCCAAAGTGGTACCATCCTATCAGCAAGGGCCTGGAGCTTGCCAGCAAGCAGCAGGTCAGGATCCAACTCACGGCAGCTGGAGGCACTTACAGGCGGGGGCCACTGAGATGACTGCATAGCACCCCACAGCAATAGTCTGAAGGTCAGGATAGACGGGGCAACAATGGAGGCAGCAGCACTGGGAGGCAATGCTGGATAATTAACAGTTCTCAGAAGTGACCTGGACGACAGAGCAGTCATTCGTCAACAGTGCTGAGTAGCTCTGGCCAGTAGTGCCAATCACAGGAGGCAGTGTAAATCCACCATGTTACAGCTCTTTGTAAATTGTTGACCTCCATCAACAACAAACAGTTCTTTGAGACACCAGGCCCAGGGCCTTTGGTGGTACTTCCAGGTGATGTCAGAAGCAAGGCTGGAGGACAGCAGGCCTAACTTCTACAAAGCTCTTCAACCTTCTTCCTTCATAAGTCAGCTAATGGATGTGTCCTACTTCTTTTGAAGTCAGGAACAGAGTTCTTCTGTGAGAGTCTGAAAGACCAAGTGTCTCTCTTCTTAGGCCAGGAACTGACACTCAGAGTTGCAAGCTGGCTTCTGCCCTGTTTTATGTGCTGTTTCAGCCACACCTTCCCCTACCCCACCTACAGGTCTGATTGGACCATTTTCTATCCTATGGCTGACTGGATCTTTTACCAATCAGCTTATAACATACACCTAATGGGGGCATTCTATGCTCCAGACAACAAATCCACAGCCCTCTATACTGCCTTCAGCTGGGGGAACTCGCACTGGGGCCCCATGCTCCTTCCAGCAATCCTGAACCAGGGGCTGCATGCCCTGGGGTGGGTTGGTAGAGGAACAACTGGCCTCAGTCATCACTGCTGGCCTCTGCCTGCAGTCTGAGCCCCAGTGGGGCACTGGTGGTGGGTGGTAAAATGCCCACAAACAGCTTCTGAGGCCAAGTGCCAGAGTCCGGCAATGGGGAAAGACGGGGGTGTCTTGGCTTCAATTTCATGATGTACCATATAAAAGGAGCCATAAGTATTATACCAGTTATATAGTCATTCATATCTAGCTATTTGGACTTTTTGCTTGTCATTGTTTTGGAAGTCATATTTAAAGTTCTTATTACTTTAATTAGTTCTAGCCTAATTTTTTGAAGATTTATTTATTTATGCAAACAAGAGCTGGGGTGTAGGCCAGAGGAGCATGGCGGGGCTGTGGTGGGGTGAGAGGATTCACCAGAGACAGAGTGGGGAGCAGAACAGGCGGATTGACTGAAATACACTGCTGAGGGGAGCAGTGGGTGAGACAGCAGAGGCCTGCTGCGCCATGTGGGCCACCTCCCTGGCCAGGGATCGAACTAGTGCTGTAGTAGCTGCAAATTGCTTCATAGTGCTGATGCTTAACTCCTGGTGCGACCAGGGAGGACTCAAAGTTCTCATACCTCCACAGGGTAAATGAATTAATCAGGCTTTTTATGCCACTAGCCTCTGTGGCTATCACCTGCAGCCTTGAATGCAGAAGGTGCTTGGGAGCATGGGCACAGTGCACACATGCCTGTTTGTGGACACCTGGGACGTAGGTGTGCATGCATGTATGAGTGTGCACGCCAGAGCCTAGAGACTAGGCTAAAAGCTGTGGCAGCGGTGGCAGCAAGAGGATGAATAGCATGACTACAGAAGAGGTGAGACCAGGAGATGATGCAAGAGAGAATGGGTGGAAGGGGGGATTCTGATAGGCTCAGTTGTCTCCCTGCCCCAACCCTGCCAGGGCCATTCCTGCCTCCTTTCATGTCAGCCTCCCTTCATGCCAGCCTCGCTGCCTAGTGTGGCTGTGTACCTGATTCCCTGAGAGCATTAAAGCTTGAAAAATCCACTGAGGGCTCTGGACTCTCTTTAGCCATCTGCCCAAATTTATAGTGAACCTACCCTGTGCTTGCTGGCACTACATACTCTTACTTAGTAGCTCCATGACTCAGCACAATAAACCACCAAGTATTTAGCCTGACACCACATCTGATAGACATTACCAGAACAGTAAGCATAGTCAATTGTAGTTAAAGAAAAATCACAACTTTGAACTTAATTGATCACAATGTAATGGTGCCCCATCAGAATCTTATACACAGCAGATCCCATAGCACATATTTTCAGAACCATTACTTCCGAGTTCCACATTTCTGTGAAGAAAAATCTAACAGGTGACTGAACACCAATAAATATCCAATTTAATTTTTGTTGATTTCACTTAAGAGTGGGAAATACATTTATATATATTACATATGTTATAATTGAGTTATAAAAAGGACTGATAGAATTCACTCCTTAGAAACTTAAGGTTTTTAAGATCTATCTCATTGAGATTAAAAACTATAGGTTCATATTATTCATATTATACCATTTGTACTATTCAAAAATATATTCACGTTTGCAAATATAAACATAATTCTTATTCATATAAGCTGTGATATTCTATTTCGGATACATATGATAAATTAAAACCCTGACTAAGCAAAATTGTATTGTGTCAAATAAAGAACCGAAATAACTGCTCTTTACATTTTTGCTTCAACAGCCAGAAACATGCAAGATCAGAGGCTTAACCCAGCATAAAGGTAGACAAGCACACAGTAGTGCTAACCACTGTCCATGCATTCATGCATCTTCTTGGGTAATTTCCTTGCTATGGAATATATTTCAATATTCTTCTCAAGTTTTTTCATTATATAAGAAATCTCCAACTTCATCAAAACAAGTATGATGTCTCCAGAAGAACTACAACTCTCTTTAGAAAATTCTTCATTTTACAAACACAAGATTTTAACATCAACATAATGGCCACAAACACACAATTCCCAAACTACACCTTTAGTCTATACAATTCAGAACTAAACTGAGTTTATGAGCTGTGTTACTGTTTAAACCATATAAATAAAACCTACATTGTTTCAGTGAAGCTTTTGCTGTACAAATGCAGAAAAGCCGGGGCTGAATAGATTCTATTAATAATGCAATATTGAGTTTGGTATTGACTTTAAGAAGTATTATCACCTCCTTGACTAACCCTTAGCTGCCAGCAGACGCTGCCTCAGGCCAGTACACACCTAATTGCTCGGTAAAAAGGCCTTTTCCCTACCTCATTGAGCCGCATGATGTGATAAATTTGCCTCAGGTACTCGCTGCCACCTGGTTTGTGGCAGATATCCAGGACCATCATGTTTATTTTCTGCTCAGTCAGTTCAAGAGCAATATCTCCTTCTTCTGAGGCTGTGCTTTTCTCTATTGTCATAAATGCACTAAATACAAAGAAAGCATAGAAGTATCAGTGGTGAAGAATTGTAAATATGAAAAATAATCAAAGAGATTGAGTGTGCAGAGGTGATGTAAATCTCACATTCAAAGCAACTATAAAGATTTCGCTCAAATAGGTAAGCCTACCCAAATCGCTGCTGCACACATAAACAGTGCCTTAGAACTAAGCACCTGAAAGCATTTTTAAAAATTGAATTGCTTCTTTTAAAACATTTCTTTATTGCATTTATACTCCTATCTATAAAACATTTTCCCATTACTGCAATTGTTGAAATTGCTATAATCAAGGGATGAAAACAAAACATTTCTTTTTAAGAACATGTAAGAAATAATTTGTATTTTCTCTTTGTGGATGAGAAATATCTTTAATGTCAGAAATAGCTTTGGTATTCTTTTGTGGATTCCTCTTTACACCTGCCTTAGACCATATTAAAGACAAATTAAAGTGTCAAAAGGGGGGAAACTATTATGCAAAATATACATTGGGCCCTTTCTAGTAGTATGTTCACCAATGGGTATTTTAAATTGGCCTCTTGAGACTTGTTGCCTCTCAAAAATATATGCCCCAGGGCCTCCCCTGGTGGCTCAGCTGTGGAGTGCTGGGCTGTGAGGCTGCCAGTAGCCTCTGCAGTGCAGGTTCCTTACCTGGCTGCTGGCGAGGATCCCACAAAAAACAAACAAATAAATAAATAAATAAATAAAATATATATATGCCCCATCTCCTGTTTCTTCATGGTAAAGACACTATGTTTGCTCCATCAGGAAAAAGGAAAATTATCACCACACCAAGAATGTGTAAGATATATTTGTGAGACATTTTCTTTATAAGAATTCATATGCTTATTATTGACATTAAACATTATTGATACGGTAATCAGAGATTACATATTTAAAAAATCTCAAACTATCCCAGTGTAAAAAAAAGAAATTCTACATATATCATGTATATTCCATACTAAGTTTTTCATTACAATTGTTACGAGGATCATGTTAGTGTTTGCAATCTAAATATTTTTAAGAAAATGCATGGTTCTCCACTGTTTCCCAGATGAAATGACATTTACTGTGGTGTAATCAGCTATATACTGCAGTTCATTACTGAGATTTTGCCATGATTATAAAATTAGTTCTGCCAAGAGTCAGTGCCACTGACCTGAAGACTGAATCAAATGATACCCAGATGCTGGACATTAACTTTTATATTACTTCCACATGTAGCTTCAAAAATCCTTCTTTAAAAAAAAAAGAACTTTATGATAATATGTCTTGCTAAAAAAAAAAAAACACAACAAATGCTATTCTTAGAGATAGTTATTAACTAGAATAATCTTTAAGGAAAAAGAAAGATCTTGTTGAAATAAAAGAAGTTTACAAATATTTTCTTGAAGTTGCATACAGGTTGCAAGCAAAATTTCTTGTCAAGTTTTGTAGAGGCTGACATTGAAAAAGTTGAGGCCCTCTGACAAAGGAGTGTCTCAGTGTCAGCCTCTGAATTGTATCCTTTCCTGTCCATCACTGTGCAGGTGAAGCAAATGATTGGATTCAGTCAATGCTATGATTAATGAGTTCCTCTCTGGATTTGGGACTGCCTATCAATCATGTCATTAGGGAGAATGTGCCCTGAAAGAGGCAGACCTTAGCCAAGGAATAACTGCATTAATCTTAATCTGTATATGCACCCAGCCAGCCAAGTCAGGGTCACCATGATGAAAAACAATAATCTTCAACTCGACAAATTACTTTGCAAAGACAGACATTTCTTTACTTTTTGGGGCTTATGTGTTCTCCAGAATCTAAGTTGACTGTTTACAGCTTGAGTGTTACTACAAAGTGAAGGTTATTTTAATGAATAGTAATGCTTTCAGGCAGTATGCAAGACAAGCAATGCTTACAGCTGTCACCTTTTCCACTGCAGTTATTTTCACAATTTCCATAAAATCAAAGTTAAATATGGAGACAAGTGAAAGAAAGCTAGCTAAATGATATTGTGTATTCCAAGATAATCTTCGTGGGGAATTAAGATTTCATTTATCTTATCAGAAGAACTATATTTAAATGCTTACATTCTCATGCTTGAAAAAAAAATTATGGGAAAGTCAAGGCAACTCTCCACACATTGTGATTTGAAATACATTTTCTTCATGATATACATCTATGAAGTTAAGTGATCATAGATTTGTGAGAAATACAGAGGTGGAAGCGGACTTGTATAACAGATAATCAAAGTAAAATGATAGTGAAGAAACATTCATGTAGTGACCAAATCTTGTAAGAGATTACTCTAGTGAGTTGATAAATCAAATATAACTCTTTTTCAAATAAATGCAATAAAAAATTTTAGATCTTCACTTTTGTATATTTATGCCATTGGAGAATTGAAAGATATAACATTGTGTATATATTTACTGTATTCTCAGTCTTAGAGTGTTGTAAAGCATTTTTAAAAATCAGCAATTTTGTTCATGTTGGATGTATGTTATGATAGCTAATCAGTCAAATATTAGCGAGACAATGCCCTACTATAGGAGATATCAGGTATGTTGGTGCAGTTTATGAAATACAATAAAATCACCTCTAAAGGAAAAAAATTACTTATGGGTTACATATGTAGCCCAGGTATAACACTGGTATATCATTTTAAACTGAAGTTATTGATAGAGGGATTCCTAAATGAGCAGCATCATAAATTTAACATTATAACTATAATTAGATCCACTATTTTTCTCTTTTTTTTCTCTCTCTCTCTTTTATAACTACTGCCATGGATAATGACATCTGGCTTAAATCTTTTAGTCATTGGATTAAAGCTTGTAAACTGGTATTGAATGCAAATGTAAAGATTAAAAAGGTCACTGTCAATGTTACTGAGCATTTGCCTGACTGCTGTTGCCATTCCCACCCATGGAACACTCCAGAAGTAAGTTTCTGGAAGTCAGTATGACAAGACCAGGAAAATCATGATTACATACTTTTCCCATTTGGATTAATATAGTTTTACAGCTTAATATAAACTGGTCTTACAGCATAATATAAACTAGTACAGAGAATTTGTTGTTGTTCTACTAATCAGTGAGTGCAATGTATTTTAACAGAGTTTGCAAATAACAAACGCTTACTCTACCTAAGCTTGATGCTAAGAACTTTGTTAATTTTTCAAAACAATTCTATCAGCTTGGTATCATCACTAAAAATGAGGCTTTGAGAGAGAGGATAAAGTGTACAATATGACTCATATAAGAGATTAGTATTTTTCCATCTGATTACAAAGTCTGAGCTCTTTATATCGCTATACAACTCAATCATTTCAGGCACGTAGTTCTAATAATATCTGCTAGCAACATGAATATATTTTAAGAAAATGGGGAACAGTATGTGTAACTGGTGTAAAAAAAGGGGGTTTGACAGTGATCGTTCACCATCTGAACTGTAATTCCTTTATCAATATCATGCAATTCTATACTGAAGACTAATTTTAAGACAGGAGGACTCTATGTACATATTTAAATTCATCAGGGACCCTTAAAAATCTTTTCAATACCACAAATCACTCAGCTCTTGGTGACAAACCTATGAGAAGGCTGACATTTTCATACAGAAACAGCTGGGTGTGTTTATAGCTTGAGTGTGATATGCCCCAGTTGCCCTCTGGGATTCTTACATTACCAGATGAAAAATGTGTACCTTTTTGACAATCAGGTACACAGAAAGCAATAAAAAGCCTTTTATATCCATTAATTCCTTCTTAATTTAATCTCCATGCCCAATCCATTTACAAAGTGCTTGAGGCCATCCACTAGATACCTGTTTGCACATTGAAAAGGAGTGAAACCAAATTCTCCTGGGTTTAACTACCCTCCTTTTAATCAGAAACCTTAAGATGGTGACTAAACCAGTATAATGTTCCATTGTATCAATAGGGTTCAAATTTTAATAAGACAACATACAATTCAGTTTTTAATGGAATATTTATCTTTTTTTCGGTTTTAATCAAAGTTCCCATGAAGTCAGTAAAATGACCACTGCTGCCTATCTGGCAATATTTTGTTGTTGTTCATTGGTAATTTTGTTACTGTGAATGTATTTGTTGAAATTCAGCAGAAGAAAAACATCACTTTACCATTCGGTGCTCAATTTCCTTGCTTTCAACAATTGGCATTCAATCCAGTTGGGCTTTTGCTGCTCAATGCTCTGGATGACCTTCTGGGTCATTTGATTAGGACTACTTGTCTGCTCCCCCACAATGCTTTCCAAACACATACAGATTAAACCCAGTTTCTCTTTACTCCATCTGTCAAGGGAGGCACCTGTTAAAAGTTCCACAGTGTTTCCATCCTCAAATATCCGACATATAATTACAATCAAGTTCCAGACAAGCAGGCCAGCTTTCTTCAATTCAACAAAGTTTTTTGACATTTTTCTCTCAGACAGAAAAAAGAAGTATTTAATTGGGGGAGGCAAACATGCAATCACCGTAGGTAACTTGCTGATTACAATAGATACTGCCTGAGCAGCAAGCCTTGTGAAGCCTGGGGAAGAAAAGAAAGAAAAGGTATGATTAATATTAGCATTTGCGTTCCATCACTGTGTTGTTTTGAGTGTAAAGTGGGGATGTCTAATTTTTGTGGAGAAAATTGTTGAGAAGAGCAAGTGCCTGACACATTCCAACAGTACACTACTGGGGTCTCCCACAGTACTGCTTCAAATCCCCCAAAACCCAAGCTTATTTTTTCTCCCACAAAAGATTAAAAGATTCAGAATTATTATTTATATTTTTGTCTATTAAGACTACAGCTTAAAAAGGCCAGAAAGTTCTCCTAATGAACAAAAGCAAAGGCACTCCTGTTGGAGCTCTTTAAAGTCTCTGCCACTTCTGACCTTCACTGAAGCCTTGTGGTCATTTAGAATCAGTGACAGAATCATCTCCGTTTTTGTTGGGACTGGCTCCTGTATTTTATTATAGTTCTTAGTCCTTCACAACCCAATCCCGATCATAGTCCCACTTTATCACTGGATCCCATTTTTTGCCTTTTACTTAACACTTAAGCATCACCTAATAATTATCTCCATTACTCACTCACTGTCACTTACCACTGGAATAGAATCTCCATGAGGACACACTGCTGTAGCCCCAGCACTCAGTGTCTCATATGTAACAGTTGTTTAATAAATATTTGTTGAATAAACGAGTGACCAAACTGGCTCATGTCACTCTTCTTTGCATTCCATACTTGTTCCACTTTCTACTTATACCTCTTAAACGTGGTCCTTCACCTATTGACTGATTATTTTATATGCCCTTCCTTGCTGGGAGCTATTTCTCTGAAGGATTTACCTATCTTTCTTCTCTATCTCAAGATTTCTCACATTTGCACAATTAACATCTTGGGCTAGATAATTCTTTGTTGTGAATTCTTTGTTGTGATAATTCTTTGTTTTCCTGGGCATTGTAGGATAATTAGCAACATCTCTGGTCTCCACCCACTAGGAACAGTAATATCCTTCTCAGCTGTGACAACCAAAAAAATCTATAAGCATTGCCAAATGTTCCCTGGGGCAAGATCTTTCCTTCTAGATGATTTCACAATCTTCACTCTTGGCCTTTCTCCAGGGTTGAAATCCTACAACTTTAGCTTCGTATTGGACATTCCATTCTTCTTTCCTAGTCACCATTAGCTCAATAGAAGGAAAATTCAATGCTTCCCTCTTTATTGGTTTGGCTCTCCTGACCCTTCCTTCCTTCCTTTTAAGTATTTTCAATATTCTTGTCAATCCTTCCTATCAGACTAGTGATTGCATTGATAAATCTTCCTACCTGCCCCCCCAATCTCTGACATGCCCTGTGACTGTGTTTACTGACAATTCAAACTCTTCCTCCCAAATGGCACCTGTACTATTGCAGTACTTGCCGAACTCATCACTGTGCCCAGCTCCTCTCCTGCACTGTACAGCCACACTGACATACTATGAATCATATTATCTAATTTCTCTGCAACCATAGTTTTAGATGGTCTCCACTGTTATGACATCAGTGTCTTGAGAGTTGCTGTCAAAATCTGATCAGGCCTCAGCTGGCTTCTGTGTGACTTACCTTTGTTTTATCCTTTCTGACTTTTAGGCTTCTATATATGTCATTATTCTCCTATAGAATGCCCTCTATCTTTATGGGTTACCCATATTCTTCAACTCTTTGGTTCAAATCCTCTCCCCTCCTATGAATTTATTTGAACATATTACCCATATGACTATTTTGGTAACTAGGTCCATAATATATTGTGTTGTATTTTGTATTATCATCTATTATCATTTATATTGATTTGTTATTTATGTCTTCATGAGTTGTCTTTACAACTAGAAAAAAAGCTCCTCAAGAGCATGGAAAAGCATCTCACAAAGCCAGACACGGTGTTTTAATCCACTAGGTATGTAATTGAATTTGAACGTTGGACCCAAGTAAGAAGCCAAAAAGAAGAGAGCTTTGAGGTCAACAATAAAATATTCTTTACTGCTTCTACTAAGCAAAACAACAAAACAACATAAAGGTTTTTTTTTGTTTTGTTTTGTTTTTTAACTTTAAGTTACTCTACTTGAAAGCAGTACAAGGCTCTGGGAAAATGTATCCAGTCTAGTGACTCAAAGTTTTGTGACAACTTAAGAACCATTTTAAAAATTAACTGGAGCAGTCCTTATAAATTTGTAAAAATTGGTTCTACATACATCTGAATAATCTTAAAGATTCTGTATTAAATATTATAATAAATGTGAAAGTGCCTAGTTCAGTACTTTGTAAAAAAAATAGTTTCTCAATAAATTTTTATTCAAATGAATATATTTAGATAAGGTTAAAATGTAGATAAAATTTAAAATTTAAAATTTTTTGTGACCTCTCTTCTCTGTAGTCTTTAATAATTTTAAATGTTATATTGTTCTTTGTGTTTGTACCTTATACTCCCTAGTCTGCTGTCAGGTATTTCACTTAAAAGATTATATCTTTCTTTTTTTTTTTATTTATTAGATTTATTTTTTATTTATTTATTTATACAAGCAGTGGGTACAGTCAGAAGCGCGGGAGGGTGAGAGAATTCACCAGAGCCAGAGCCGGGAGCAGAGCAGGCAGAAGGACCGAAGCACACTGCTGAGGGGAGCAGCGGGCGGCAGGAGAGGTCTGCGCGCCATGTGGGACCCTCCTCCGGTGGTCGGGGAGCAGCCGGGGATCGAACCGGCGCTGCAAGGCTGCGCTTCGCAACCCAGCGCTCAACCGCTGCGCCACCGGGGAGGCCCAAAGATTATATCTTTCTTATCTCTATCCTAAGAGGGTTTGACTGCAGATATTAGGTAAATATTTGACAATCTAAGTAGATATTAAGCAAAGATTATCAACTCTCTTCACATCTACACTTCTGATATTTTATAAAACCTGAGGACTCAACTTACTCAAATCCCCGACTACTTCATTAATGCTTAAGGCAAATTCCAATCAGAACCTTTAAGCTGGTTACAAATTAATAAATCCATTCTACTAATCACAGGGGCTCTGAGTCTATGATGATGTTAACAACACACTAGGGAGAATGGCACACACTCACTTTTCTGTCTTTATTTAAATAAGTTGACTTCTATCTAAGCCATATGTATGTAATATTTTGTAAGGGTCATTCCAAATTCAGAGCTGATAAAGTGTGAATAAAATGTATGTCTTAGAATGAATGCAATATATTCATGTATTTATCATTTCTTCCTTTCTATGCACAGCAAACTGTAATAATATATTTTGTGGAATATAGGCAAAAGGAGATGATAATGAATGTGGTAAAGGCAAGTAACATCTAAAAATAAATTTTTAGAATTTTATTATTTATTTAATGGTATATAATATCAATAATAACTTCTTGCATGAGGATAATGTAATATACTGTACTTATTATTTTCAAAATCTGGGCTTACCACTTGTGATACAGTGTTCAAAGGTCAGGTTCTAAGTGTTTCAATACTTGATTTTAATGGCTATCATAGGTGAAAAAGCAGATACATGAATATACATTGATTCACAAATAATGAGTATATCAACTCTACTTGTGAAATCATGCACTTGTTTCCAAATTTAGCCATCACACAGCAAAGGCTGTTGTTAAAATTTCACTAATAAGGGCCTCCCTGGGGCCTCAGCGGGTTGAGCACCACACTGTGGAGCTGTCCGCAGGCTCTGCAGCACAGGTTTGATTCCCGGCCAGACAGGGAGATTACCACAAGGCACAGCAGACCTCTCCTTGCCTTGCCCGCTGCTCCTCTCGGCAGTGTCTTTCATCTGTCTGCCTGTCCTGCTCCTCACTCTGTCTCTGGTGAATTCTCTCACCCTCCCGCACCTCTGGCCTGTACCCCAGTGCTTGTATAAATAAATAAATCTTTAAAAATAAAATAAAATAAAATTTCACTAATAAATATTCATCATTCATGAGGGCAATTAGATGATCTTGCAAACAAACTGAAAAATATTTCAGTTTTGCATTCCTAAGAAATGTTCTTGTTTGGAATATTTTAAATCATGTTTGAAAATTCTATTTCTAGGTTCTTAAGTGTACAGATCTGATATTTTTGTAGGTGGCACTGGTTTTCATAAAACTAATATTTCTGATTTTTACAAAACAAATTATCTTAATGACAGCTGACAGCACTTTGTGTGTTTCTGCCATCCATTTCTCTCTCAACAATCTGCATGTGAACAATGTCATAAATACATTTTCCTTGTGGTGTTACTTTTGTTTGCTCTCCAGAATCCAGTGTTTCAGTTAAAACAATTAGTCAACAGTTTCCCATACAACATTTCTTTTTATTTAAGAAGGAATTCACTGCGAAGAAAACATATTCTCTTATATATCTTTAATTGTTGTCAAAGGAACAAAACAACTAGTTCTTTGTCTATTTGCTTTTTGAAACATAGGAAGCAGATCTCTAAGCTGAGCTACATCACAAACATCTGAACTTTTGTTCACATTTTGGTGCATCACCTAAGTCATAAAACTTATTTAAGTATTTATTTCTTTAAATATTTGCTGACAAGGAAACAAAGAAATCATTTTGATTTGTCACCAATGTATTTTTCATATTGCATCATTTTCATTGTGTCTGGAAGGATGAGTGTTCTATTAAGTTTGTGACTGTCTTTTAGTAAGCTAGAATTCTCAAAAACGACCTCAAACATTTATTATTATCTAAACAAATTTTTCAATGCTAGATTAAATATTACTTGATTGAAACATTGCTGAAAATGATTACAGAGATTTGTTTTTATTTGTATGCTTGGTTTTTATTTGTATGTTTATTTGTATGCTTGGTTTTAAAATCTTTGCTAATTGAGATGACTTTAGACTATCTTTAGCTAATATAACATGTCAAGATATGATACTTAGGAGGAATTCATGTTTAACATGAATGTATGAAATCGTATTTTAAATGGTTACTTCACAAATTTCCTTTTGTATTCTTTCTTTTTGACCAAAACTAATTGGATCATAATTATTTTAATTCATAATAATGGCCGAGAAAGAACTCATGTTAAGAATAGCAATAAGTGTGCTCTTTTTCACTTTGCCTTTGCTCTTTTTTTTAAGATTTATTTATTTATTTATTTATTTATTTATTTATTTATTTATTTATTTATACAAGAACCAGGGTACAGGTCAGAGATGCGGGAGGGTGAGAGAATTCACCAGAGACAGAGTGGGGAACAGAACAGGCAGACTGAGGAAATACTGCTGAGGGGAGGAGCGGGCGCTACAGGAGAGGTCTGCCGCACAGTGTGGGACCCTCCCAGGCTGGCCAGGATCGAACCAGCACTGCAAGGCTGCGGACAGCTTCACAGCACTGCGCTCAACTGCCTGTGCCACTAGGGGAGGCCCGCCTTTGCTCTTTTTTACGTCACAAATATTAGATTTAAATTATGGTTGATTTGTTGATGAAGGTAATGTTAAAGCCACTTGGATGCTTTAGGAGGATTCATTTTGTTAAAACTAGGTTCTATAGTACAAAGAACCTAATTTATTACTGAATACTGAAAATTAACAAAGAAGAGAGTTTACACCATTCTTCCCCACAATATTGTCCCCAACATATAATTGGCTCACATTCACATGAACAGAGTTCCAGTAACAATCTCCACTTGAAATTTTAGTAAAGTCTGATTCCATTCATTCCTCTCACAAACTAAAGTATTGTTTATTCCCTGAGGTGTTCACACTCATTTAGGAAGTTCTACTAGACTTCAAGTACCAAGGAGAAATATCTTATTTATAATTCATTTCTAGCCTTAACTCCTGTGCCTGGTATGTAGTATTACCTCATTTAGTTAATTTTTATAGTATGAGTAAATGACAATATTTGGCATGTAAATATTACCTATTTTATATACTGTAGTGAAAATAAAGGTTGAACACTTCAGTATAAAAGTTACTGTAATATTTCAGAGGGAAAATGAACAATGATAATCTATTGTCATAAAAATGTGGAACACACAGAATGCTTTATAAAGTCACTTTCTTTTGCCATTTTCTTTCACGTATTTATGTGATTTGGCAATCCTCTGTAGCTGTCTATATGCTGTACTTCTATTTTCAGTGATAATTTTATAAGGAAAACCCCAAGAAATGGTATCTAGAAAGTCAGCGCTTCTTGGAACCAGAGGCTTTTTGAAATGTTATGGAAAATTTCAAAATGTTTATGAGAAAGTAAAATTTTTCATGAATAAAAGAACTTGAAAGTCAAAAGCAAAATAGTGCTAATACTCTGTCATGATATATTGACCACAGATCATGCCTACTGAATTGTTCAAAATCTACAAAATATCCAAAAACTGGAATGAAGGAGAAATGGCAAAGATTCAGACAAGAAGAACTTAAGTAATGAAAAGCTGACATTTTCCAATTTCAATTAAATGACTTTACTAGATTCAAAGGCAGTTTAATAGGGCTCGGACAGAATTAAAGTATTACTATGAAAGGTCACGAACAGATAATTGATTTGAGTTTGTAATATAAGGTCGCTGGATAAGAGCCACATTATTTAGGATCTCCATGGAGAAAAATGAAAAGCTAGTCCTTTCAACTGTTCTTTAGTGGGTTTAGCTGAAGTATTTTAATGCTGAAAGTTTCCTTAGTGTTAGTGAAAAAATATTCTTCTTTACAGATAAGTATAAAAGGCGAAGTTTCTATTTTAAAATCTAAAGAAGATTCATGAATACAGACACAGTTAATATACATTAACATACATTCAAAGGAATCTTGTGAATATATAATAAACATTCAAAGGAATCTTGTGAAATTCCTGGAAGTAGAAACATCTAGGTTGGAAGAAACCATTTATGAGGAGAGGCCTTGATTAATAAAATAAATGAAAAATGTGATAATGGATGGTTCTTAAATATACTAGTTGATGAAATGCTCTGAATAGGAATAAAGGACTGAATTCAGAACCAAAGGTTTTGGAGGAAAAATACTCCATCAGAAAAATAAGTACAGTTACTATGTGGTATTTTTGACCTAAAATCTACACATATAGATATGTTAATGAGGAAAAAGAAAGTAGTAAGTAGTGGTTGCAAAGAGAAAAACTTCAAGGAAAGAAGAATTAAACTGAATATCAGAGCAATATTCTTGAAAATATGAATTTTAGATTATTTAATAGATTTAAAGCAAAATAGTCAAAATCATATGACTAATCCGTGAATATTAACATGAACAGAAAACATCATGGAAAATTCTGAATTGGTAGCAAAGGAGAAGGAAATGTGCAGGAGGATGACGAATACCACACAATTTCACTTACATGTGGATATAAAGAAAAATGTAAAGGAAGAGACAAACCAAAAGAAATCTGATCACAGATTTGAGGCTATGGGTATAGGGATAACAAAGGGGTGGCACAATGGACTATGGTGCAAGATTCTGGGTACTTTGATGGTAGTTGTGTTGTGGTAACATATATCTGAAGAGGTGTGAATCTATTCCCCTAAATCGTATTATAATATTGTAAAGAAAAATTGGAAATAATGTTGGTTTACAAATGAACAATACTGTAAAATAAATAATAGTTTAAAAAATGATCATTTGAGTATTTTTCATTTCCAGTTTCCCTGGGCATATGACTCATAGGAAAGAAAATTACAGGCCTCAAATATCCAGGATGTTAAGATTCACATAATTTACAAATCTTATTTTCAGGATTTTAATTAATCTCATATTCTAGAAAATTGCTTCTTCAGGGATATATTCTTAAAGAAAAATAAAGATACCTTTACTTGATTCTTTCCTTTTAACTTCTTTTGGAACATAATTCCATTCTTTCGGGATGCTGTCACGCAAACGTTCAGGGATACTGTGCATGTTTAGGTTTGTCTCACAGCTTCTCCCAGGACCCATCAGAGATACTATGTGCTGTACAATGTCCTTGACGGCATCAGTTAGTACCAATCTTAAGCATCGGATGACCTCCAGCTCAGAATCCACGCATGTTGAGACTTTAAAATCAGACAGCATATTATGGTTAGCAGAATCTAGCAATAGTTCGTGCATTGTTACATTTGGAATTTAGTTCTCAATAATCTAATTTAAAGCTATAGGAAAGGACAGCTGTTTTAAACCTAACAATCCATAAATATTTGAAAAAAAAAGTTTATTCTTCATGGTAATAAAAGAAATGGCAATTAAAATAATAATCAATAACGATACTTGCTGGTGGTTTGGGACTCTTATGGTAGAAATATAAATTGTATGAACTTCTTAGGTAACAACTTGGCAATGATATTAAAAGTTTCCATACTTCTCTTACCTGTTGATTCACTTATTTTCTAGGACTTTATTCTGAGAAATTAATGATGACTATATAAAGGATAAAAAGAAAAACTGGAAATAATCTAAATGTTTAATAATTGGTGACTTGTTAAATTAGCTCTGGTTTATCTGTGTATACAATAAAGCCATATACTGATTAAGAAAAAAAATTGGGTTAGAAAAGAGTATGACATTCTATTTTTATTACAAATACAAATTTACTTACACTTATAAAAGAATTAAAAGATGCACTGATACTATTAATGGAGATTATTGATGAGTGATGGTGTATCAGGTGCCTTTTCCTTTCTTTATTCTTTTCTATAAGTTAGTTATTATTTTCTAGTAATTTCTCTTTGAGGAATGATTTATTGATAGTATGTTCTCTTTTTCTGTCTAATATCTTTCATTCAGCATAATTATTTTGAGAGTAATCTGAAAGTTATAATAATTACAAAGGTTTTCTCCCATGTTTACCAAAGAAAGAACCAAAGAAGTTTTGGTTTTACATTAAGGTCTATTTCTACTTTCAGTTAATTTTTATACATGGTCTGAGATATAAATGGCAGTGATTGGAAAACCATTGAGTTGGAAAGACTATCATTTTCCCACTCAATCAATGTGGTGCTCCCTCAAACTAGGGCAATTAAGGGCCTCAACTCACTTTCTACTTCTTAGGGGTGATTATCCCTCGTAAACTGATATCCAGGGAAAGAGAGAAAAAGCCTGAAAATAAGCCCTGGAGCGGCTACTTAAAGAAATAAAGAGATATATCTAATAAAACATTAAAAAATAAAGTAAAATACTGAAAAATACTTAGTCCGAAAGGAGGCCAAATAGAGGGCCAAAGGAGCAAAAATTAGATGGGACAAATATAAAGTAGATAACAATATAGACATGGAGTTCCAAGTATCAGAATGGAGAATCCACAAATAGATACATACATTTCATCAATTGGTCATTTGGTTTTTGACAAAGATATTTAAGGAATTTAAGGAATAGTGATTTCTAAAAATGGTGTTGGATAAATTATATGAAATGAAAAGATATAAATTCTAACACTTAGTTCACTCACGCTATATTAAGAAATCAACTTGAAATCAATCAAAACCTAGAATGTAAAACTATACCAACAGTAGACTAGCAGGATGCTGGAATTGTCTCTTCCACCACAGGCACAGCAGACCTGCATTTGCATTGGAGAAACTGAGGATCTGAGAATCAGCCTTTCCACAATGAGGAAGAGAGACAGGAACCATTAGAAAGGATAGGAAAGTCTGAGAAGATGCTTTTGGCTAGATTCACTGGTGCCAAGTGATAACTTCCCCTCCCCAATCTGGACTCATTAAGGTTCTGGACAGCCTATCTGATACATAGATATTAACCTTCTCCATAGCTTGTCCACAGCCAATATATTTTTGCCTGAGCCTTAGGGAGAAACTCTGCCCACTAAACCTGCTGACATCAAGGGTCAGCTGCAGTCTGGGGGCTTCTGGGAGAACATAGTGGTATAGTCTGCCTTGACCTGATAATGAACTCAAGTTCCTCCCTTTACTTAAGCTGCAGCAGAAACTGGGAAGGCTTATGCTTTCAGAACTCTACTGCAACAACCGCCTCACCCTCTGCCTCCACAGATCCACACTGTAGGCTGGGTTCTTGGACCAGCAATCCTACACTGGCTCCTGAGCTCCAGTCATCTTGATTGATGGCAAATATCTAGCCAATACAATAACAGAAAGTGGAGAATTTTAAATAACACAATTAGAGCAGAACTGGGAAGGAATGCTGTCTAGTCTAATTCATAGAATTAAACACAGAGAACCAAACAGAATGAGGTGGCGGGCCTCCCCGGTGGCGCAGCGGTTGAGCGCTGGGTTGCGAAGCTGCCCGCAGCCTCTGCAGCGGTTCAATCCCCGGCTGCTCCCCGGCCACCGGAGGAGGGTCCCACATGGTGCGCAGACCTCTCCTGCCGCCCGCTGCTCCCCTCAGCAGTGTACTTCGGTCCTTCTGCCTGCTCTGCTCCCCGCTCTGGCTCTGGTGAATTCTCTCACCCTCCCGCGCTTCTGACTGTACCCAGTGCTTGTATAAATAAATAAATAAATCTTACCAAAAAAAAAAACAAACAGAATGAGGTGGCAGAGAAAATCACCCTAATCAATGGATCAAGACAAAACCCAAGGAAAAAGTTGTAACACATCAGAATGGAGAAAACTACTGGAAGACATTAAAGCAACAGTCTTCATTATACTCACTGAAATTAAGAAAACAGTGGATGAACAAAATGATAACAATAATGAAGGAAGAGAAAATGTGGAAAAACTCCAAGCAAATATCAGAAAACAAATGAATACAACATATTTCTACTAAAAAATGTAACCGAGGGGCCCAAATGTGATTCAAATGAGGTAGAGGATTAAATTAATAAGGTGGAAAATAGGCTAGTAGAACGAATCCAGAAATGCCAGCAAAAAAAAGTTTTTAATAAAATTTTAAAATAAAAATCTTTTTTAAATTTAATTAAAAAATGAAGACAACATAAAATAGCATGAAGAAGAGCAACATTTGCATCATAGAAGCTCCAGAGAAGCAAGGATTGTTCAACATTCACAATCACTCAATTTACCACCAAAACAAATGGAAAGATAGAAATCATATGTATAGCAATAGATGAAAAGAAGGCATTAGACAAGATTCAACATTCATTTATGGTAAAAATTCTCAGTGAAATGGGGATGAAAGGAACATACTTCAACATAATAAAAGCAACATATGCCAAATCCAAAGCTAACAGACAACGGTAAAAAAACAGAACTATTACCCTAAGATTAGGTATAAGACAAGAATGTTCATTCTTACCACTAATACTCAACACCATATTGAAAGTCCTAGCTAGAGCAGTTAGGCAAAAGTAAGACAAAAAAGGAATCCAAGTTGGAAATGAAGTATATCTACCACTATTTGAAGATGACATAATAATAATTTACATAGAAAACCATAAAGACACTACTAAAAAATTATTAGCAATGATAAATCAATATAGTGAAATAGCATACTACAAAACCTATATACAAAAACCTGTTGTGCTTCTATATACAACCAACAGACTAGAAGAAATCAAGCAAACAACCCTATATACAAATGCATAGAGGGAATTAAAGAGGAATAAATCTAACAAAGGAAGTGAAAGACCTATACAATGAAAACCATAAGACAACTATAGTACAAGAAATAGAAGACACAAAGAAGTGGGAAGATATACATCATTAAAATGACTACCTTACCCAAAGCAATATACAGATAGATGCAATCCCTATCAAAGTTTCAATGGCATTCTTCAAAGAAATAGTGCAAACATTACTGAAATTCATATGGACCACAAAAAAACCTGAAAAAAATCCTGACAAATAAGAAGAATGGAGGTATCACACTCCCAGCTTCAAGTTACACAACAAAGCTAGAGTTACCAAAACAGTAAGGTGGTGGAATAGAAATGGACACACAGATAAATGGCATAGAACAATAAGCAGAGCAATAAACAAACACTTGTATGTACAGTTAATCTATGACAAAACAGTCAAGGGCATACAATGGAGAAAGGAAAGTCTCTTTAACAAATGGTCCTGGGAAAAATGGAGAGCAACATGTGAAAGAATGAAACTAGACCACTACCTCAATACCTTTCACCATACACAAAAATTAACTCAAATGGATTAAAGACTTGGATGCAAGACCAGAAACCATAAAATACATAGAAGAAAACATCAGCAAAACACTTGGAGACACTGGCTTCAGGGATGTCTTTGGAGACATAAAAAAATAGGATCACATCAAACTAAAAATGTTCTGAACAGAGGGAAAAAACTATTTATAGAAATTAAAACACACTCTTCTGAGTAGAAGATATTTATGTATCACATATACAAGGGCCTAATATCCAATATCAAGGAAGAATTCATACAACTCAACAAGAAAACAAATAGCTTAATCAAATAATGGCGGAAAAGATAAATAAATATTTATCTAAAGAAGACCTACAGATGGTCAACTGAGATATGAAAACATGTTCATCATTATTTACCATAAGAAAAAATGCAAATTAAAGCCACAGTGAATTACCACCTCACACCTGTGAGCATGGCTTCTATCAAAAAGACCCCAATCGAGTTATGGAAGGGTTATGGGGGAAATGGACCCACATACACTGTTGGTAAGAATGTAGACTGGTCCAGTCCTATGAAAAATAATATGGTGGTTCCTCAATATATCAAAAAAATACTTTACATATGATCCAGTAAGCTCACTCTTAGGTATCTTTTTGAAGAATATGACAACACTACATCAAAGGGATACATGCACTCTGATATTTACTGTAGCACTTCCTATTTCAGGAGGAAGAAAACACATCACCTTTTCAATAATGTACTCATGTTCATCTGAGTGGGTTAATGATATTTACTGAAGTGGTAAAATACCACTTCATGATTATGATTATGATTATGAGATTATGATTATGTGTCTCACTTGCATTTCCTTTAAACCTGTTAAATTTTCATGTTAACCAGAAAATATTAAGGGCTTAATTTTGTTATGTTAGTATATTTTATAATCTTATTATGGTTTTTAAGATAATCATGATTGGTGACAACTGATGATGAAAATGTTTGTAAAGACTTAGATAGGAGAGAATGCACAAAGATATAGTCCCTTATGACCATTGCAAGAGCTCAGGTTGTAGAAAATATTCAAATTTCCAAGAATAATGATTTGTACAGAGACTAAGAAGGGTTCACCATTTTCAAGTTCTGTCCTATTAGGCCTCCCCATACAATTTGATTTCTATGAATATGTATAATACCTGTTTCAAAACATTTGTCTGACTTTGCGAAGGGTTTGCTCAATCTATAGATAAAGAGAAGACGAATTAGGAGCAAGAAGCAAGCTTACTTTCTCATGCCAGCACCTAAAGTTTATTAATATCTTCCAGGTCATTTTCAGTACAGTTGTGTACAGTCTATAATAGCACAAGACTTAGAGTTGAAGGATAAAGAATGGTTGAAACATGCAGGTCACTGATTCTTTATCATCCAGTGCAAATATGACTCTTAACTTCACCAGAAACAATGAAAAATAGCAGGGGGTGGAGAGGTTTTCAAGGTTGTTTTTCTTTCGGTTCAATAAAGTCTACATCAAAAGTAACTCAGTCTTTTAATTAGAAAATTGCCCCTCCTTTTGGTAAAGAGAGAAGCAATGAGGGAATATATGGAAACTAGGAGATAAAACTTTAAAAGGAGATAATTATCACAGAGTCTTTAAATGATAGATTCAGATTTTTAAAACCACTTCATAAAGTTATCTATTGCTATTTTGCAGGGAAAATGACCAAGAGAAGATGTAATATAATGAATTTAAAGTAGTTCAAAAATATTCAAGTAATGTCTGGAGGATAGTCAAAAAGTCCAGAAAGAATAAAACCGTAACTATGAGCCAGTTAGACTTTTTATGTGGATCCTAGGGACAAATTTATGAAAATGTTGGCTTTAACACAGTGTATAAAAAAGCTTACAGGTTGAAAGCCAAATGTAAATGATGTAATGGTTAATGGACTAACAGAATAACCATTGTCTAAATTCTCATACTTTTTTTTTTTCACCAAATATTAAGTATGAAGATTTAAAAGCAGGATGTAAAAATAAAACAATGAAAGAATCTTTGGGCCTCCCCGGTGGCGCAGCGGTTGAGCACTGGGTTGCGAAGCTGCCCGCGGCCTCTGCGGCGCCGGTTCGATCCCCGGCTGCTCCCCGGCCACCAGAGGAGGGTCCCACATGGCGTGCAGACCTCTCCTGCCGCCCGCTGCTCCCCTCAGCAGTGTACTTCGGTCCTTCTGCCTGCTCGGCTCCCCGCTCTGGCTCTGGTGAATTCTCTCACCCTCCCGTGCTTCTGACTGTACCCAGTGCATGTATAAACAAAACAAACAAACAAATAAATAAATAAAACATGCCTCTATTAAAAAAAAAAAAATTAAAACAATGAAAGAATCTTTATATCCTGGCCCGAAGGTGGGGAAACCTATGAATATTTCCTATACAGGTATGCAACTTATTCTGACCTTAACATCTGCTCTTATAGGCAGAACAACACCACAGATGGGGAAAACATATTGTCCCAAAGGAATAGTAGAACATGCTTGCCTTATACATGAGAGAGGTGCTGCTGTGGTCCTAACAATAAACACCTTAAGTGTTTGAAAAAAGTTGACTGGTACTTTTGACTATCAGTTTGTTAAATAAATGCACCCAAGGGCCACAAACTACTTTTTCATATCTTACTAATGTTTTAAATAATGAATAGCAAAAAATAATTTATAGGAAATATTAAATTTTCACTTCCTAATAAAAAAAAGTCTGCATTATGTTATTTTTTCCCTCAACCTCCTCCTCACCTTGTCCCAAGTATATTGAATTTGGATAAGAATTAATGGTTACTGATTACCATATGCAACTTTTATACTGAAAAAAAAAATGGATAAACTTGCACAAATAACAGACTCAGCAAAACTGACATCAATAAAACTCTTAAAACACCTTTAAAGATATATTTAAGTATCTATAAAGCACTTCTTTATAAATGGTAAATTTCTTATACCTGGAATGTTATATAAAAAGTCCCATAATTGTTCATCTTCCATATAGCTCACAAAAACATTTCCAAATGTTTGTGGTGAAAAATTGCAATGATACAGCACTTTAAATATGGCTTCTATCAAGCTGGATCCTTGGTTCAGATTATCTTCTGCATCAGAAACTTGTTCTTGAAAGGTGCTTTCTTGAAAAAGAACAAAAATGATCAAAGTGGGTTATTAGTGAATATCATTAAATTCTTATTACTTACCCTTGCTTAATTCTGTTAAAATTTACTAGATTAATATTTAGTAAGAGAAGAAATGCCCCATTCTAGCAGACCAATCATCCTTCTAAATGCAATAGTTTCTGAGATAGATATTTGTGGAGGGAAAATTGTGAGAAAGACCACAATTGCCTCACTTCAAAAGGCAAGGCTATCTTCCTATTATGTTAGAATTTTTTTCCCTCAAAGAAACTTTTCTTGATTTCTTTTATTTTAAAGAAATTTTTTTAAAGATTTATTTATTTATGCATACAAGAACTGAGGTACAGGCTAGAGGTATGGAGGGTGAGAGGATTCACCAGAGACAGAGTGGGGAGCAGAACAAGCAGATTGACCGAAAACACTGCTGAGGGGAGCAGCAGGTGAGTCAGGAGAGGTTTGCTGCACCATGTGGGTATTTCCGTGACTGGCTGGGGATTGAACTTGTGCTGCAGAGGCTGTAATAGCTTCACAGTGCTGTGCTTAACCCCTTGCGCCACCTGGGAGGCCCTTCTTGATTTCTTTTCCCAATCAAAAGTAATATATGTTCATTCTAAAAATTGTTAAAAAATATTTGAATTAAGAAAACTGAAATTGTACTCTTGCCAGTAATAGTCACTATATTTGGTGCAATCCAATGTGTGTTATATCCAAATATACATAAATGAATAAATATCTATTTAGCTTGAACACCAATTAGATTTATTTTATACATATTCTTGTTACCTAAAATCTTTTTAAAGAGAGTTGAATCTTTGTATCTGTCTTTGGGATGCTATGTTCTGAATATATTGTATAGTTTATTCAGAACGCAAATTTCATGGAATATTCTTATTTTTTAGTATTCTTAGAATTATGGTATCAATTCAACAAATGCATTTATAAAGTTCCTCAAACCCACAGACCATGTCATTTCACAATGAAGAGGTTTATCAGTTGGTTTCTCAATAAAATAATAACAGGATTTTCCAAAAAGATGGAGTCATTTTTATCCCTCTTTTCAGCTCAGTCCACCTCTGACTCTATTATGACCTCAAAGATGAGTAATCAGAAGTCTCCAGCTGTTGCATCCGTACATTTGATGGAAAAGGTTAAACAATGCTTTCTTTTTTTTTTTTGATAATTAGTATGATATGCCCAATATTAAAATGCATGATTTCTTGATTTAAAGATAATGACTCATCTCTTCTCGCCTATTTTGAAAATCTTTAATAAATGTAATCTAGGTGATTTTATAATGAGTACATTTCTTTATTCTTTCTCATTCCGAAGCATAAAACTTGTATGTTTCCTCTTGATAATTTTATTTGATTTTCATGGTCCTATATTATTTCATGGTCCAATATTATCATAAACTAAGAAATAGCAGAGGAATAGTAGAGGAAATTTGTTCCTTTCGCCTTCCTAATATCCATGCTTTCTCTGTTTTAAATGAGTTAGTTTTCTTCCAGTAAGTTATCCCTGTCCCTTATCCCCTGCATTAACAAACACAGACTATTTGGCAATTAGAGCTTGACACCTCTGCCAACATGGACTTTTTTTTTTTTTTTTCAGGATTTTTGCTGAAACTGTTGATAAAGTGGTGCTGTCTTTCCATTGGGGTAGCTGAACTGTTGGAAATAGACTATCAGTTACTGATGGCCATTTTGGGGAGAACTTGACTGAGAACAAGTCAGATATGGTAAGAAACAGAACCCAGTTTCCTCATAACGCGATGACACTGCTTGAGAACCTGGATCCAGCAGGTTCTCAACAAATACCTGTGTATTTGTTAGCCGAGCCAATAAATTTCCATTTTGTTAAACCAGGCTAATTTGGGCTTCTATCATTGCAATCTAAAGGGTTTCTAAGTTTTTCATCAACTATCAAAAAGTTAAATAACAAACAGTCCTAGTGCAGGCATTCACAGTTTCAATTCTTTTTATGCAAATTGTCCCTCTCCTTTTCCCTCTAATTAATCTTATGTATGATTATGAGATGTCATGTTTCCAGTATAAACCTTTCCATTTCTCCACTTAGTTAGAAATTCCTTAATCTGATAATCAAGACTTTCTGTAATCTTTTTCCATGTTACATACATCCTAATCTCCAATCATCAGTTCCACCTAGATTTGATTGTTCACTTTCTTATAAATATTCCCCTTCATCTCCTTTTTTTTTTTTTTTGGTTAAGCCATTTCACTAGTCTAGAATGTTCAGCTCTAAAAAAAATAGCTGTGATTTGTTTTCATCAATCAATCAATCAACGTGTCAGCCATCACTGTATTAGATGCTGGGTCCTATACCTGCCTCCAGTGATTCACTGACTCTGTGTGTGTGTTTATGGGGGGAGGGAATGGTAAATGTAAACAATTATTACAGAAATCTAAGGATAAGTGGGGTGACCATACACTCTGGTTTTCCTGGGGCAATCCTGGTTTACGTTTGATGCTCTGATGTGATTATTAGTATCATCTTCTGTCCCTCTTAAAAGTGTCCCCCGTTTGGATGATAAATTATTTAATAATCTTAAGTCTTAAAGCCTTAAAGTACTATGGAAATAAAGAGAATGAGATCTTAAATATTTTCAGGGGACACAGAGAAGTCACTAAAGCATAAAGACAGAAGTTTATCAGCATGGCAAGACAGTGGTGCGAGTACTTTCCAAAAAGACAGAAGATTGGTGTAATGGGTGAGAAGACAGGTAGCTGATGGTGAGACTGGCAGCATGGCTGAAGTATAGTTGGTGTGATGGGGGTAGGAGAAGAAACTAGACAATCAACGCAACATGAATAATCAATGGCCCTGTGATTCATGAAGACAACACAGATGGAGAAAGGGTGTTGGATACAAGGGCTAGTTACAACAAAATAATGAGTATTGTTATCACTTGTTATCATATAAAATGTGCAAGATACTTCAAAGAAATATTACTTTCTATTTTTCTTTGCCTTGGAATAAAGTGTATTTCTGTTTACTCGCTTCAGGGAAATTTGCTATTTGAAAAGCACATATAGATTAAAGTCAGTTGTGCTCCTAGACTTTAAAAAGAAAAGCTGAATCTATTGAATAGTTTATTAGTTTGAACTACATGAACTAGCCATTTTTGCAGGCCTTAAAAGGTAAAATATTGGCATTATCCTATGGTACCCAGATGGAATCTTATGTGTCCCAGCAGGTAGATAGACGGCTCAGGAAGAGGAGATGCTCTAAGCCTGGAGAGCGAAGGCTCTGGGGGTGCAAGAGGGATCACAAGCACCCTGCTCTCTGGCAGCACTGAGGGAGGCTTGACTGGGTGAAGCATGAGGGAAGCTGGACCCTGACACAGACTCAGTCCCTGCACCACTGGAATAGGGATAAAGGATATCTGGGGAACTTCTTTTTTTTTTTTTAAAGATTTATTTATTTATGCATGCAAGAGCTGGGGTGCAGGCCAGAGACGTGGGGTAGGAGTGTGGTGAGAGGATTCACCAGAGACAGAGTGGGGGACAGAAAGGGCAGATTGACTGAAATACACTGCTGAGGGGAGCAGCGGGTGAGACAGGAGAGGTCTGCTGTGCCATGTGGATTGCTCCCTGGCTGGCCTGGGATTGAACTCTTGCTGCAGAGACTGCGGATTGCTTCATAGTGCGGTGCTTAACCCCTGTGCCACCAGAGAGGCTCCTTGAAGGAACTTCTATACTACCCTAAAATAAAGAAGGGAGCCTTAAGAATATCTATAGTTAAATGTTCAGTCCCATTGGATGGGGTTCAGAATCCTCAAAAAATTGATTTGGAAGCAATAGGCAATTTTGGTATTTCTGCACATATAAGTATGTTGAAATTTGCAGTCATTCAATAAAAATATAGTTACTATTCACAAAGAACTCACTTTATATTTTATTTCCTTTTCATAATTATCTCTAGAATGGGTGCTGATTATCCCAATTTAAGATGAACAAAGTAAAATTGCAACAAATAAAGCAACTTGCTCCAAGATTAAGGTGGTAAGAATTGGTCTGTTTGTGTTAAACCGGAATCTCAAATCTTTCAAGGCCTGCTTTGACGTTTTATTGACAGTAACCTCTGAATGCAAAGTATGCAGTCCAACCAGGTATTTGGCAGGTGGTAATTTATCACCTTAATGCAAAACATCTTCATTTCATGTAGCATTCTATACTTTCAAGTGAATTAACTCATTTCCTCTCTAGTAGTTTTATTATGGGACTTTCTATGGATGTGCTTCTTGTCTCTATCTTCCAACAGCACCTAGAACAGTGTTATATGTTTCATGCTTTAACTAAAGAAAGAAAAAAGGAAGGGAGAAAGGGAGAAACATTTCAGCATTTTTTTGTTGATTTTGGTCCATTAGAAATTGGCATTGTTGGGCCTCCCCTGGTGGCGCAGGCAGTTGAGCACCACGCTGTGAAGCTGTCCGCAGCCTCTGCAGTTGCCAGTTCGATCCCAGCCGGCCAGCGAGGGTCCCACATGGCGCAGCAGACCTCTCCTGCGGCGCGCGCTGCTCCCCTCAGCAATGTATTTCATCAGTCTGCCTGTTCTGTTCCCCGCTCTGTCTCTGATGAATCCTCTCACCCTCCCGCCCATTTGGTCTGTGCCCTGGTTCTTGTATGGATAAATAAATAAATCTTAAAAAAAAAAAAAAAAGAAATTGGCTTTGTAGAAGGATACTTATTTACCCCCTAGTCATAACATTTAAAGATTTTTTTATTTCCCTCAAGCCTCATATTGCTCATATCTACTATATCCTTTCTTTTTTATACTCCTGGGAAACCCTCTTCTCTGAATTTCCTTATGACCACATTCTCTTGGTTTCAATATCCCAATATTCCAAGATAATTTCAAAGTTGAAATTCACCCCACTGTCTAAGAAGGCCTAGGTGGAAAGTGATTCCAGAAGATTCCAGATGTTTTTAAGGTCTTTGCACTAGAAACCTCATAAAAACCAAAACCCATACCTTTGC